ACCACACACAGCGCTCAGCCTCGCTCTGCGCCATCTTTTCCCCCAAGTTTGGCGAGAGGTGGATATGGAGGGTCGCAAAAAAATAGCTCATCTGGCCTTATTTAAATAAAAATGACTACATGCCGTGAAATTCTTAGAGGGGCGGGCCGCCCCGCCTGTATAATGGTAGAGGAAACACTGTTCTGTTTTGAAGCTGTGGTGTGGAGCTACAGATTTAAACAGGTTAGTGTCTATAAGTCCTTCACCCCCACCTCACAGATGAAAAAGTCAGATGTAATGTGACATGTGCGTTTAGACCATAGTCACTTTGAAAAACATCAGATATGTTGCGTTCAGACTGTCATAAAAAATCAGATATAGGCCTGCAGTGTGAACATAGCCTTAAATATTAAATAATTTCATTACAATCTGTGCTTTTAACTAAATGAAACTGAAAGAAGTTGATGCATTTTGGAGAATGAAAAATGCAACCAAATGAAATTACTAACCACAGAAAACAACAGTAACAGTGGTTGGACAGGTAAATATTTTGTGGGTTTTAAATAACTAAATGTGAAAAAAAATTTTGGTTTGAACCATAACCCAAAATCTTACTAATTCCTGCTTTACTTTTTTGGTTTGATTGTCTATATTGTTGTCTTCGCTCCTCATCATCTGCCATTGATTCCTTACCCTAGTACCTCATTTGTTAGGTTTTGTTCCAATCAAATGTAGATTCAGCAAACTAAAACTAAATTATAAWGCTTTTTTGTTTAATTAGGCTTAGCAAAAACTATTGCATACGAATACAAATCAAGCAAAAGAGAAAATGGTCACAGATGTTATGTTATAGTCATTGTGTGCGAGCATGTGTGTATGCATGCATGCAATTATCACTAAAGTCACATTCCTAAGCCAGCCAATTAAAAATGCAGATATTCCAAATGTTGAAATACACTGCTGACAAAAACTGATTCAGTTCCATTTAGACCAACATATAATAAATAATTAAAGTGTGTGTCAGATGGGACTTTATACATCATTGCTTTGTAAACATAAAAGTATGTGCTGTGCTGCTTATTTTCTCCTTCTTGTTTGTCTTGTTGATATTATTGTCTGCTTATTTAATTTTCTGAGGAGTTTTTAGCTGTAGGATACAGTTTTCTGACACTGTGCTGCTTAATGACTGGATATTACATCCAAATATATGATGYAGTTTAAGTAAGCATTAGGACATTATTTCATTTAGTCTTTCCATCTGTCCACTGATGTCTGTGAGATGATGATGACAAAGATATCAGTTTGATGTCAGCACAGTGTAGATGAAGTTTCTATCCCATCTGTGCCTAAACTGATAATTAAACAGGTCATTTATACTTAACAGAAGCATCTGGTGCTGAAGGTTCATGCATATAAAAGCAAGTGTAATAATAATGCATTTACTAGTGGTGTAATTTCTGTTATTCTTCCTTAAAATCTAATCCTGGAGGGAAACAAACTGTGTTARGTTACAGTCTTTCTGCATTTGCAAAATATGAATTTGTTCAATGACATGTAATTACAATTAAGACAACAAACACAGTGTAATAACTAAAATAGCAGCAGTGGTGCMCACCCCCCGATGGTAGGTGAAATTGCAAGGTTAAATTGAAATAATTTCTTTGTGCAACACAAATATCTGCATGAATACATTGTTATTAAGCATATAGTTAGTATATCACTGCCTATTTATGCCCCATTTATTGTAGAACTCATTTTGCTGCATTCTGAGCTTTAATAACTGCCTCATCAGGAATTAGATTTGTGGTTTATAATACCCTTCACCCATTTTCTTCACACATATACATACAAACATATACAATGAACAGTAGGTGTGCTTTTGTACTCACTTGTAGCTGTATGGAGCGATCTCGTAGTCCTTGCACAACGGGACTGAACCTCTCCGTGGATCGCCATTCTCCTGCTGTCGTAATGGCCTCAAGAACCTTTTCCAAACTAAATCAAAACATTTCATGTTGAACTAATAACTGAAAATAAATGCATACAATTTTAAATTATGGGATTGTTGACCATAAGCTTATCTCCGGGGTTCTTTTGAGTGAATTTTATGGTAAAAAATGAATTAAATTTCCTATTTAAAGGTAAATATTTTTTTGTTGACAGGATGAAAACGTACGTGTTCTCCTCGCCTACAATGCAGATGGCTGACAGGAGCTTGACCACCTCGGTCATCATGGCAGACTGACTCGGATCGATAGCTCTGGCCAGCAGAGAAAGACTTTTCTCCTCCACCAAGATTCGATCCAGGCCGTACTGCAACGTCAAAACTCTACATGATTACACAGATATTCCAACTACTGTAATGTGCAAACAAAACAAAGGACTAAACAAACAACACTTATCTTTACAACTTTAAATTGATTTATAGGCATTTCTCTGCACTTTGAAATTGGCCTTAATGATTAACTAATTAAAGTCATATTTAAGGAGAACAGATTTTTTGGTTTCTTCACTGTAATGTTTTATCCAACATACGCAGCGATAATTAGAGCTTCGGTTCAGCACAATAATTAAATCAGCATAACTAAAAGAAATTAAAGCTCCTTTGTTTCTTTTATATGAGAGGCTTATGATTATTTTTTTCAAATTATTTTATTTTCCAAAATAATAATAATAATCTCATAACAATATTACAGGAAAATTAAACAGTACTTGACAGTAAAGTATTGGAATATTTCAGTGAATGTACCAGTTAGGTTTTTTTAGGTTACACTGATACCAATCAAAGTCCAAAAGGTCAATAACACCTGCTTTTAATTTGCTTAAAGAATTTCAGCCTTTTAAATGAGTACAAATGTTTGTTTTTTTAAGTGATGGACAGACCCAAAAAACGTTTGTGAAAAATAATTTACAGCTTCCTTGTTGGTTGAAAGACTAAATCAACACATTAAGAACAAACTAGACGAGGGTTAGCATTAGCATATGTTAACTTAACTACTAACAGACCGATGGATGACAACAGGCTGAAGCTGAGCCAGTGGCAGTGTGAGGGCTTTATACTCTATCTGTGGAGGTTTAATTTACACTTTTTCTGTTTAATCAAAATCCATCTGTTTTCACCTGTTTGCAGGTGAAAATTATTGTTTCTGTTCAGAAATGCTTTACAATGTTTAATTCAATAAAATGCTTTAGTTATGTTGTACTTATGGTACTTGGTATGCATGAAGTCTGCTGAAACTGGAAATACAGACAACTGTTCATACGCAGTGCAAATAATGATTTAAATAACGTCAGAAAGTTCAAAGAAGAAACACTGTTTTAAAGTGTCCAAAGAATATTTTTACATTAAGGTAGCCATTACGGCAATAATCCTGTATTTCACTGTTGATAGACAACAGAAAATATGCAGGTGTGTGATTTGACAGAGGAAAGCAGAAGAATAAGCTGCACTGGCAGCTGGCAGAGAACACCTGTCTTTTTGGCACCGTGGGTCCCTCCTGTCCCAAGATGCCTCTCCAGCCCAGGAAAGGTCTGGACTGACAGAAAGGCCTACGGGTAAATGCTGGTGTCTGGCGCCTGTTGAGATGCTGGATTACATGAGACCTTACAGCGCAATTTGTGCCAGAGGGGCTGAATATCTGTCTCTGCTGGGGTTTAGCTCCATGTGGCTTTTTTATTTTATTTTTGAGCAACTCAAGATGGAAGTGGTAAAACAAACCCTTATTGGTCAGACCAATAAGTCTGTATTAGTCTGTATTTATTTAATATTTCTGTCTTTGTAAAGCAAAATGWTCATACCGTTTTAGTATATATATTAATTTATACATAAAAAACATGGTTTTACAAATAATGAGAAAAAAACTACAAACACTGCTGCCCTTTGTGCCAGTGAGCATAGCAGGCAGTGAGTAAGTACTAGTCAATAGCCTTTTAAATTTAAAATCTCATGTGACCAATTACATTCAAAGAACAGATGCTGAGATRGACAGGATTAAATAAAATTGGATTTTTAAGAAGTTTGACTTTGGGGTTTCCTAGCAGTAGCAGTATATGGCTCACCTCATCTCCCACTTGGATTAAACTCCAAAGGCTCCAACAAAAAACAAATTCCCTTTACTACAGGCAATATGAGCTTACAAACAGTAAGTCCAGACAACAAATATTACCCTGAACACCATGCTCCTAACAAATATTACCCTGAACAGCTGACAGAAACAAGCTCAAGAAGTGGAAATATCCTTCTTACAACAATCGTACTGTAATTTGGTGGTTAGAATTAAAAAGAGACTAATTAATCAGCCTCTTTGAATGATAAATAAACAAAAACTGTCATTTTGCCATATTTGTTCATGCACAAGTATTCAGGTCATTCTAAGGGCTGTTAATTAATTGTTTTACCTGTACTTTATAGAACTGATGAATGACCTCTGAAACCCACTTTCTCAGATCAGCTGCTCAAGAATTTTATTGTTTTTAATTCCTTGTTTTTAATTTTATGTTTTAATCTTGTCTGCTCTCTATGATTTTTTTAAAGTGCTTTACAAATAAAGTTGGATTTTGTTAAATGAAAAAAATATGCATACCTTATAAACACACTGACAATTTTAAACATATTTCAAAAATACTAAATAAAAGATTTATTTAAAAAATACAAATATTTTCATTACCTTGTTGTTCATGAATGCTTTGAGACACAGAACGACTTTATGTTGGTTTTTCTTGTCAATCTTCTCTTGCCTGTGGGCACAGCAGAGTGACGAGACGTGGTTGTGATTTACAGACTAAAGACTACACGACATTACTTGTATTCAAAATGTTTAAAAACATACATTTTCATGGCGTAAAAGTCACARGGAAAAGAATATAATAAGTTGCACATAACTGAACTACAAGCAAACATGCATGCTGTAGTAAAACTGAGTTATTTTGATAAAAATAAAAGCAACTAAACTAATATTATCACAATAAAACTGAACTGAATATTCACTTTGTAATACCACTGCACAGATAGCTGGAGATGCTTGTAGAAAAGAGTACAAATGAACACTTAAACTTACTGTTTCTTGAACAGCAATCTCTCCAAAATGTCCAGCAGCAGGCCCAGGCCCTCGTGCCCAAAACTCTGCACCCAACTAAAAAAAATAAAAATAAAAAATCAATACCTCAACAGCGTCAGAGCGACGGCTGACAAGAACAATTTCATACTCATCAACCACTGGGAAAAGCTTTTAGACAGAAAAACACAAGCAGAAGTCTAAAGTTTGCACGGAAAAGAAAGACAGCAGTTATAAATTTTTTACTTCAATGCCTGGTATAAAAAAAGATCTCCACTAAAAAAGTAAAGACGGAGGAAAACAACAATTGGAAAGCACATTCAACAAAATATAAAATTCTATGACCGAAAAGGTGTTATTCTTCACAGAAATAACATCCGGATAGAGAAAAAAAAAGTCTGTTTAACTTACTAGTAAAAAGTATTTGACAAACAATAACACTTAAACTGATACTGCAGTTTGTTAAGTGTTTATGAAATGCTTCTGGTTTACGGCTCACGTGCACTTAAAATATTAAATACAAACACTTTCATTCAATTTTGTTACAAATTTATTTTGCAGAGGATTGTTGGGATTTACACTGCACATGCTAACAGTAAATTAGAGTGCTAACATGTTTTTCTGACAACCAACACTATGGCTGCACAATATATCGCAAATTTATCATRATCGCGACAACAACCTGTGCAACAGGCATATGGTAATAAACCGCAATAAATGGTTGCCAATAAGGTTTGCATTTCTGAGTTTTGTCAGCATCAGTCTAAAATGGACCCGAGACACCACATCACATCATAACCACAGTGGAGAAATGTTGAAATAAGAAAATTTACTGTTGGATTTAGGTTTGTCACCTTATTTAAAATTATTTAACTCGTTTTCAGATGTTTAATTATTTATACAAAAATAATAATAGTAAGGGATGTTTTTAGGTATTTGGAGCATCAGAAAATGTTTAGTAGGGTGATGTTTTAAAATCATTAAGGAGCTAGTTGTCTTTTTTTTTAAAGCAGAAAGACATCAACACAGCATATTAAAATATGTGTTCATTTATCACAAGTTATATCATTATCACACATCAGTGGTTTTCCTGATATCATGCAGCCCTAACCAACACCCAAACCTACAGCCATGTTCAATTCAATTCAATTCAAAAATACTTTATTGATCCCAGAGGGAAATTAGGTTATGTTTGCTCCCTTCGACTCTAGGAGGATGCTGATTTGCCTTTTTTTTTATCTTATGCGATATACTTATTGCACAGGCTGTTATTGCGTCAATAAATTTGCGGTATTGTGCAGCCATAGTTTAAAAAAAATCAAAGTTTGTCCTTTTGCCCCTTTAATACCTTTATTTTCTTAGATATTTCACAGTTCTTTTCTTCAATATGTCCTTCAAGCTTCTATCTTAACTTGAAGCTTTAAAGAGGCTCTAATAAAAGTTGATCTGGTTTTCTAAGCTTTTTGTGAGTCTAAATGTTGTGTATGAATTGTTATAAGAACACAGGAAGAAATGATATGCAGTCAACTAAAGCAAAGTCTTCTTTTAGTCTTTAAAATCCAGATCACACCGATTATTAGACCAGCAATTCTTGAGGCTTTTCCAAGAGACTAATAAAAAATAATAATAAACATTTTAAAAAAATCACACACTGGAGATTTTAAATTTTTACAGAAATGAGACAATGAAGAAAAGGAGAAAAAGTAGAAATGATTTCAGCTTGTAGTCACTGTGGTTTTGGAGAGTAAAAAAGAAATAACATATTACATTGGGAGCTCTAAGGCATACAAAAAAAGGCCAAAGACGACTAGATTGTTAGCACAGTCTGCACCTCAACTAAACCTGAACAKCGTCTCCAAACATTAGCATTCACTGTGGATGCTTTAATCAACAAGCTGCATAGCATGGCTTCCAGCGTTAAATCTACAGAAATTCTCAAGGTGACAAGATAACACAGGAAGCTGCTATCTGAATTTAATTTGTTGAAAAGGAGTAAAGGTAGGGCATGCTCCTGAGATTATCTGTCTGTTGTTACATTGTTCTGCATACAGAGGTATAAATAAATAAATAAATAAATAAATAAATAAGCAACTAAAGCAGATGAAACAATAGCGGTTTATTTGATTGGTGTGTGTGTGTGNGTGTGTGTGTGTGTGTGTGTGTGTGTGTGTGTGTGTGTGTGTGTGTGTGTGTGTGTGTCAACACAAGGAGTGAGTGGTTGGTGGGTGAGTGACACCTTCATCAATACAAGTTCATTAATCAAATGTGTGCAAGTCTTTAAATCACCTTCTAGACAAAAATTAAATTAGTTAATGATTCATTCAAATTCAATGACTGACTTTTTTTTCTCCTTCTAATAAAAAGAATTCTTTCATTGCAGAATAAAAAAACAAGTCAAGAAGTCCCGTAGCTCTCTGGTGTGTACAACTCTGCCAATAAATGTGTGACAGGGTCAAAAAAGAAAGAAAGAAAGAGGTAGACAAAAACTATAATGTCCTTGATGATGAAGACAGTAAAAGCTGCTGCCAGGGAAGCTGAAGAATGACTTTCATGTTTAAGAAAAACAAAAATCAATTTAGCCTTCACTTGTGAATGTGCCACGGCCCGGGCGGTTCTGGTTATAGAGTGGGCAGGGTCTTGACAAGAAACTCATTGAAATGCATAGCTCAGTAGAAACTGCATGTTAGTTTTTCATCATCAATAGGTGAAGCAAAAGGCAAGAGAAAATAATCCAATGATCTATAGAAGGAATTATTGCTAAGGAAACCAACAAGCCAACGCTGTCAGGGTCTGCGGCTATAAATTTAAGATTTGCCTTGAAACACGTCTGAGAAAAGTGGAAGGGATAGAGGTGACAAATCAGCTTTCAAAAGCTTTTTGAAGTTTTAAGCCGTTAGACATTTTGAAGATCTTGGAGGTCAGAAACTGGCAATGTAATAGCTCCCTGAAATATCTGGAGAAAAGACTTCAGGAGCAAGAACAATTGGGTAGAGTCCATTTATATAAGGAGTGTCTCCCCTTATTAAAGGTCAAAGAGGGGTGGGAAAAGGCAAATAAAGCTGGGTTCAGCCACAGACCTGCACACTCTGCACTTTGATTTATCTTGTYAAGGTGTTAAGTCTCACTACAAATGTTAATAGATCTTTTTTTTTTTTGCGCCACCAGATTGTACAACTTATAAAATCCACGACAACCTGAAGTCTTACAAAAACATTTGCCTCGAGYGAAGTCTCTGTAAGCATGATGGCTACATTAAAATTACTGACAAAAATCTAGAAACGCATAAAAGCTGAAATTACAGCTGAACTAATTATGAGTTGAAGGGATTTTAAAAAACAGATGTTTTGGCAGCAGCCGTGTGAGATTTCAAACCATGTATGAGCACAATCTGTTAGACAGCAGACCAACAAATATCAGGAATCAATACAGCCTAATACTGTTTTGGCAATTATTTCTAATTAATGACCCCCATAACTGCCAAAAATTCGAAAGAGGAAAAAAACTGGGTGATAGAATTATTCACGGGTGACCAATTTAGGCACAATATCCAACTAAATCTTTGTGATGCCTTTTTGTTTGTTTCTGTTTATCCTTGTGCAATTAAGTGTTTTTTGACATGCAGTCTGTCTAAACAACTAAAGTACTTTATATTCAGTTTGATAATCTAGCATACTCTGGCAGCCCTTGGGTTTCATTAGTTCCTAGCATCTGGCACCCCTCCCACATCCCCAATGAGAAAACTTCAATTACCTTCTCTGCCTGAACGTCCTCAGTCTGGAGCCATACTGAACAAAGCTCATCACAAAACTGTTCTTCGCAATTTACCCCCAGAGCAGGGAACTACAGCACTGATTTACATCAGGTTGTTAATACAGCTGCCGTCATGAGTTACTCAGAAATGTACACATGCAGAGTGGGCACGGGCCGATTATCGCTGAAGTTAAAGTGTTTAAACAAGTTTTTCAGTCCGTTTCTACAGTTTAAATGACTTATTACGATACTAGAGACAGAGTTTTTGTTGTTTTGTCACACACATTCTTTCCCTCTGGTAACATGGAGCACTGAGCAGTGTTACCCCCTCCTATCTGTTGCTCCAAACCCTTATTCAGGTGTATAATGTAGCTAGGAGGGGTTCCCCTAATCTTTTATGCTCTTAAAAACAACAGAGGAGCTTCCCGACACACGTCTGACCTAAAGAGCACAAGCAGCCAACAAGTGTTGGACGTGTTCTGGATGTTCAAAACGTWGCTTAAATACCTTTTATTTATTTTAACTGCATCCTCTTTTGTTTATTTGATTTAAACTTATTTGCCTTCCATGGACCTCCATCACACATTTTTCTAGTGGGGAAATGACATCAATAGAAACACGTGGAGCTGGATTTTAATTTGTACAATAAAACAAAACAGTCTTGATGTTTTCAACAGTTTTCACCTTKYAGYAATAAGTTACACAACTGATGTTACAATACAAAGAGTTGGATGTTGTCTTGATATTTATTAAATTTTATATATTGAGAAATATGTGAAATAAAAAATAATAAATAAATGTTTATTATAGTTTTTCCAGAGAGTGACTTGAATTTTGCATGATTTAGTTCATTTGTTAAATTGTTCACATCTTGTACTATATTTCTTTTAGTTGAATTTTATATGCTTTGGTTGAGATTTTATGTTGATGTTAAATCTTTTAAGCTTTTTTTTYTTAAAGAATTGACTCTAGAGTGCATATTTTGTGTCCATGAAAAAACTATTACAGAAAATATTACAATATTAAAGAACTGTTCTTGTTAATTTGATGAAAACATTTTAAATATCCAGTGCACTCACATCAGAATAACTTTTAGATTTGTTGTTACAATAATCGATCAATCGAAAAAATAATCTTTAGATTAATCGATTAGAAAATAATCGTTTGGTACAGCACTACAATCAGTTATAAGTTGTCTACCAGAGGAGCAACATCAGTCTCTCTCTTATCATGTCTTTTTGTTTTAAAAAGCAAAATAAATCATGTGATATATTTAATTGCATTTTTGCTTAATTTTATTTATCATACCAGTATTTATGACAAGAATGTACAGCTTTTTTTAAATAACAATTACATAACATAAAGTCTGCAATTTAATTGGAATGAGTTGATTATATATATCTCTCTTACAAACTAAAATAAGTTTAAAGTTAAACTATTTAAATTAAATCTAACAACTAATATTATGCATCTTGAGGAAATGCCTAAATTTCCTAAAGAACCTGTAAGTGAAATATGGGGCTACATTTAATAGGATATTTAACACAATGTACTAAACAGCAAATAATGCTTTTTACAACACAAAAATCTGCTATCACAATTCAGCAGCAAAAAGATGCAAACAAAAAAGGCAACATTCAACAAAAAGCTATACTTGAGCTACCAAACAACAGAGTGACAAAGAGAAAAAAAACATTTAATGACACACAGCAGAGCAGACACACCACCCCTTAAACCAAAAACACTAAAACAATCATCATTTTAAGAGATAAAAAAAAAGAGAAGCTCGTCTGGCTAACAACACAATTAAAATGTCTCAACTTTTGAAGTAATCTCAGGAGGATCTCTAAGGTTTACAAAACAACTATGAACCAGGATTATAAGCATTTAAAATTTAGTTTCAAGCAGGCTYGGTCGACTGACAACAAAATAATTCAGAGCAAAGAGAGCTGTAAGTCACAGCAATGTGTGAAGTTTGAACAATATTAAAATGCAACTTGGACATTCATTTATATAATTTAAATACAAATAGTTAAGAAATTGTGAGCTTTTATATGCTGTTCACGAGTGCATAAGACAACAATTGTATCCAAGGTCTCCTCACGTATAAGGAAAAGGGTTGTATACCTTACCAAGTAGCTAAACTGAAAATAAATAAAATGAATCTGGATGAAGGTCAGTTTTAATATACTATGAAAAAAACAATTTCCACTTTTTGACAGATCCATTTATCAAATTCTTTTTATACAATTACATCTCGTAGCCTTGCTGGACCTATAGGCCAAGCTGTGTCCTTTCTTTATAGAAAAAGGGGGGGGGAAAGAGCCTGAGCAGCTGCAGGAACATTTACAGAAGTCGGAGCCGAGCACCATATTGATACACTCTAGAACTGCAAGAATCACAAAACTACCTTTTAAGTTTGTCTGCTTCCCCCAGAAAGAGCCAGATGGGATAATATATGCCTCTCCATCTATCTCAGCAGGGTGCAAACTTTCGACTGAGAGAATGTGTGACAGCTGTTTGCATCATTGCCAAGAAAGTGACACTGATCAGCATCCAAAAGCTGTGGCAGACAAAAAGCCTTTAGTTCTAAATCAATCCACCAATTCAAGGCTTTAATGGTGCTATTAGATAGCTAGAGGTTGCTGCTGTTTCTAGCCAAGCCAGATTTATGGTCCAGTCCATACTTTTGTCAATAAACTTGAGCCTGAGAGTCTGATCAGTGGTGCCCTCATCAAACATCAGTGTCTATCAGCCACATTTTTCTTGGCAACAGTCACTTTTACAAAATTACTGCAACACAGAAAAGAGGGAAGATGTTAGAAGATGGTGTGTACAACCACAGAATTGATTGGTCCGAAAAAAGAAAAAAAAAGAAGAAAAAATAAGAGAAAAAGCTTTGAAAACAAGAACAGCAAAAAGCTCCAGAAAAAATACTTATCATTATAAACAAACCGGCACATAAAGACATACACGTACTATCTCAGTTTTTACTGAAAAACAAGGAAGAGGTAAAAACAACACAGGTATAATCGGTAATAACTTTCTAAATCAACAATGAAGTACTGTCATATTCTGCTTCAGAGTAGCTCTGACCTTAAGGATATATACTACTGAGGCAAACAAAGTGGTTATGTCTCAGGATTTATGCACAACTAATGAAACACCACATGTAARTCTGCTACAACAGATACATTTAAAATCAAACTACAATCTGATAGCGAGCCAAACCAACATGTGAAGATAAAGAGAGAATTTGCCAGAGGCAATGAGTAGATACTTTGGCCCTTGCTCTGGTGCCAACTTAAGAAAAGCTCAAATATTTCAACAAAGTATGGGAACGTTTAATTCCAGTTTTGCTATATGAGCATGGATCTTCTGTTGTCAGACACATGTTGAGATTCCAATCAGAAAAAACTAATACTGTAAGACAAAGAAATCAATTTTACTGCAAGAGGAATTCAGTTAGTTCCATATAGACTACCTCCTTAATGGAAAAAGACCAACACAGACATTCAACTGGGCAGAATCTTCATTGACTGTATTGATTTTCTAATCAATATTSTATTTAATAATATTGTGATTACAATGTTACAATCCTCTAAGCTCCTACAAGGCTGAGATTGTGTTTTTTAACTAGAAAACAGTGAAACGGAGTAATTCAAGTGAGTCTTGTTCACAAGTGATGGTAGGAGAAGGAAATGGATCAATGTATCAGCTTCTTATCTGCAGTAACGAAGGCATTGTCTGTCATGTGAAAGACTGAAGCTAAAAAGCAAAGGTGTCAGTTTACTGGTTTGTATACATTCTAATCATGTAATCATGACCAATAGAAACGGCTCAGCCTTAGAGAAAAGGTAAGGAGCTTCATCAACCAATGGGAGCTCAGAGCAGAGCCACTTCTTGTCCACCTCAAAAATTGTCAGTTGAAGTGGCTCGAGCATCTACGTTGCATGCATCTACCTTTGGCGGTATTTTAAGAACATTCCACTTAGTAGGGCAAACCTAGAAGTGGCTGGATGTATCCTCTCGTTGGTTACAATGCCCAAAAATGATATTAGACATCTCAATTTTAGCTAAATCAATCAATCAGGTAGGAAGATCAATGTCAAGACAAATGTAACACAAAATATGTAACAGAAACATTCTGTCTAGCTTACAGGGCTAACAAATAGCCATTGTTGGACACAAATCACACTCTACCTGACAGGTTTGCTGGTAAGGGACACTCGCAGTGACTCCAGACAGGCAAATAGCCGTTCGTCCATCACACCTGACTTCAGCTCACCAAGGAATTCCTGGGGAGATATCTGATGGCTGCTCCTCAGATTACCCTAAAAGACAAAGGAAGAAAACATCCCTTTACCAAGGCCATACAAGATCTATTCAAATGAAAGGCTTAAAGACAATGAGAGATATGTATGGATGTACCATGATGACTTTATTGACACTGTGCAAAGCAGCAGTAGTGATGAACAATGAAAACTTGAGAAAATGTGAAAAAAAAAKCTCATATTTTCACTAATTTTGCTTGTTATTACTAAAAATATGCTTGAGTCATGTCAAAGCCACAATTCTGTAATGACTTTTTTCATTAAAGAAGTTATGAGCAATCTTGTCCATGTAACAAGTAATTTTCATTGTTTAATCAGAAGGATGAGGCTTTTAACACCTTTATGCGTGTAATCAAAACAATTTTCATGTAGACCTGATTAGCAAAGACTCTAAAGGTGATATGTTACTGGACTGCTACTGTTGGAGACTAGTTGGAGATTCAAACTTATGGGATCATGGGTTGGAGACTCCATGTCTAACGTGAGYGGAAAAGATTTTTTTAACAATGGACTGAGCACCTGTGCAACTCACATGATTGGGAACTACCATGAACGTTACTTTTTGGGAAGTTCCTCATAAACGCTGCTTGCCAACAAACCTCAGCCCAGTGAAATACCACTTTTACAACCCGCAGGAGGGAGAGACGGGAGGGTGACTGTAATGCAAGTTCAGTTCATATGAACAAAGCAACTCACTAAATACTTGGAATGTCACACTTTTCACTTTGAAGAAAAAAGGCTCATAAATGAGTCTGAAAGATATTTTATGATTGATTGTGAATTTTAGATACAATTTTATATCTTGTACTTTGTGTCTACTTCCTTATTTATTATGACATCATATCTGGCAGCACGATGGATAAGTGTTTAGCACTGATGCCTCATAGCTAGTAAGTTCTGGGTTTGATCACCGGTTCAGATCTGGGGTCTTTTTGTGTGGAGTTTTAGTGCTGGGCGGTATACCGTTTTGTACCGAATACCGGTTTTTATTTTTGTTATGATATGAATTTTTTGAATACCGGACATACCGGTTTAAATAGCGGAACGTTTCATCGCTGCCGCCAGTGAACTGTTGTTTCCCGGGGGACATTTTTCCTTGCTGCACTGCTATGAGCGTTAGCATGCTAATGTTTGGAGCAGCTAGTTGCAGCAGCGGGTGGCGATTCCGCTAATTATATTGACTGACGTTTAAAAAAACATCCCGTTTTTGCCGTCGCTGAATGTAGTAAACACCTCTTCAGTGACGTGCACAGTTAGATTTAACGTGGTTAGTTAATATGGAGACATTATGCTGATGGAGACTTAACGTGGTTTTATTGTGAAAAGCCTGTGGGAAGTACTTCGTGGTGGAGTTAGAATTGACTGGTGTGCAGGGTGAGTCGTGCTGATAAGCTTTAATAAATAACATAAAATAGACCCGATCATGATCTTTTCTTAACCCTCCTCCTTCACGACTGGACCAAAATGCATGACTACCGTCTCCAACCACCAGTTAGAGAAGAACAGACAGAGAGGAGGGAAACAGAGACACAGAGGTACAGTAAAAGAAAAAAAAGTCAATAAGCAGGCATACCGGTCAACCTCTTCGGACGTTTACTTGTATAAAAAGCCTCAAAAATCTGTACAACTCGCGGCCGGGGGGTGGGGGGGGCTACGGATATGAAAGTGCCCGCTGAGCAGCAGGAGGAGAGGAGAGGAGAGCGGAAAAAGTTCAAAACTTATTTCTAGCGGCAGGACAGGTT